TTTACATATGCTTTTTTTTCCTTTTTCTTTTTTTTTTGTTTTGGGAAACAAACAAGTGATTTTTTCTATGTACAAGAATTACCATAAAAGACGCTATCAGTTAATCAGAACACTACTTTAAAGAATGAAATCAGCTTCTAGAGCTAGCAGTGGTTACCACGGCCAAGGGGCACCGTTATACCACGGTCATACATCCGCTGCATTTCTTCCCTGTATTCAGTCAGTGACTTGTCCGACAAGGCAGGGGTCAACTCGACCACGTCCCCCATTTTCAACTTGCAGGCTGGGTCGCTAACGGGCTCGTGGTTTAGCCGTGGCCTTAGCTCCTGTTTTATGGAAAGTGCATTCGAAGCCCAACCAGAAATGCCTTGGCCCGATTTTTCCAACAGATCTTTTATGGATGAGTTTGCAGGTAAGTCATGCACAGACATCTGCACGGTTCGAAACATAAAGATCAGATATAAATCAGCTGCACAAACTCAACTTACTATACAATTAACAGGGAGAATGTGAAAGATAATACGAGTATTCCCCTCATGCTTTAAAAAATGGCAAGTGTAACATAAACGTTTATCTTTAGCAAAAATCCAAAAGCCTAAAGGACATTTAGCTTGAAACTTTTTAGTTTGCGGTTTTGCTATAAAAATGTTCCCTATTATTTCAAGTTCACTTGGGCTGTTGTTTGAGAAAGTAGACATATTAGCATGAGTTCCTATTCGAGGTACTTTCAGCATACAAAAAAATGAGAAGCCAAGAAGTTTAATACAAAAGATATCATTGAGGTTTGGTTTAATTANAAAAAAAAAAAAAAAAAACATTACATAGATATTTCCAACAGGTTCTTGATATTTGGTTCAAATTTACAATACCACTCACAATAGTAAGTACATTACCTTAAGGCGGATTAGCAATTTTCACGAATAGTTGGGTTTCCATCGAAAAATAGGTAATACTTCAATAGTGATTATTGCATTTATTCCCAAGATAAAAACACATATAAATGAACATCCAACAACTAACCTTGTCATTCTCAATCATGATCACGAAAACAGGCCCAGTAGACATGCAATCAGGTTTGCAAGAGAATGAGCAGTCTTTGGAATGGGTAGGAAATGTACAAGGCAGTTTAATGGAGTCCACATAACAAACAGAAGAAGGGTCCTTGCTCATGGCCTCACACTGCCACGAAATGACCCAACGGGCCCACTCAACCATCTGGAGGACAAAGGACGAGTATTTACAGTCTCCTTCTTTATATCTCCAATGAGCGGCAAACCCGTACTCTGCTTGCAGATGCATCTCTTTTGTCCGAATTTGAACTTCAAAGGGGATCGTCTCCTCCTCACCAGTAACGACTGTGTGTATAGATTGGTACCTGAAAGTTGCTCTTCGTTAAAATTAAGCAAACACAGTGATGGACTCAATAAAATGGCATCTTGTTGTTTTTGGTTTATCTTACCCATTAAACTTAGGATGAGCAATATAGTCTTTGAACCTCCCTGGTACTTCATGCCATAGCTGCTGGACCATGTTTAGAGCTTTGTAGCAGTCTTCTTTGGTTTCAACGATTAATCTTAACCCATGAATATCGTGAATTTCATCCATATTCAGCTTCTTCCTAAGAGAAGATAAACAGGTTATGAAACATACTTACACCCAAAATCAAATATGCAATTGGTGGCACCACGGAGCCTTTTCTAAACCCAAAATAAATTGGTAGATCACGGTAATGTGTGCAAAAACAAATTACCGAAAATATATTAGGTAAACTTTATTCTTTAAGTAAACAAAGCCGATATTCAAATCTTAACCACAATCAACATGCTTTAAAAGGACATCACAAAGTCCCATGAAACAAACATTTTTAGCTGATTACAATCTACATGCTAAAAGAATAAAATGATACCTATGGCGACACATGAGCAAGGACCGAAGGTTATTTTAATGCAATTTAGTGCATGAATGTTTAAAATATGCTTGTGTATGACATGAGAAAGAAGACGAGAAATCGAACGAGACATACTTTAACATTTTTGAATGGATGCTATACAAGCTCTTGTGTCTGCCTGATAGACAGTGGTACGAAATTCCTCCATCCTTCAGCGCTTGCTGCAGCTTTTCCAAAGAAGAAGTGATCACAGCCTCGTCAAAATTATTCACAAGCTTGGAAGAAATTTCTCTGTGATTGTCTGGGTTAAGATATTTGAAACACAGGTTTTCTAGCTGCTCTTTCCAAGTCGAAATCCCTAATCTATTGGCCAGAGGAGCAAATATTTCCAATGTTTCATTTGCAAACCTCTGTTGTTTAACCAAAGGCAGCGCATCTAAAGTAGACATGTTATGTAATCGATCAGCAAGCTTTATTAGGACTGCCCTAGCATCTGCCATAGCCAGGAACATGGTATGTAACCGATCTGCCTCCACAGTTTTACTGGCTGTGTTGTTCTCCCGTGCAAGCTTGCTCAATTGGCTCAGCTTTGACACCTGACCGAAATACTTGGTTTTTAATATCACTCCATCAATCAACTTCGGTTAAAACAAAATTAAACAGACATCAAGCTAGTTTATCAGTGAATCCCACTAAACATTTTTCCTTTCAGATATGAATGAGCAAATGCATAACGTGACATCTCCAAAAAATCGAGCAGCTAAGTTATCTTTCTACGTGTTTATCCAAATAACTAAGAAAGAAGAAACTACATGTTTATCCAAATAAACTAAGAAAGAAGAAACAAGAACTAACGGCATAAATTTCTCTTACCCCCTCCACTAAATCAGCAACTTCAGTTCCGAATGATCTGGAAATAGCCTCAGAAGTGACAAAAGAATCGTCAACAGTGTCGTGCAAAAGCCCAGCTGCCACAACAGTAGAATTGGCACCAACGTTTGCCAACAGAACAGCTGTCTCCAAGCAATGCTGCAAATAAGGATGCCCACTTGCCCGCATCTGAAAAGATAGATAACATCAGAACACTCAAAATCTAAAATCACTATATGGCTATCACAAAAAAAGGGCAGAAAAAATTTGGAGAAAAAAATAAGATACGAGTACAAAATATGAAAATAATCTGTTTCACAAAAAGTACACGAGTACAAAAGTACCTGGCCTCTGTGTGCCTTCTCTGCTTCAAAAAAAGCCTTGACCACAAAATCATCCCTGAATATCAGATGTCTCGACTGGGCCTCGGAAAGCATATCCCTGGCATAAGGCGGCAAGTCTGTCCCCACGAAACTATCCTCCATGTTAAAGGTAAGTTCATGTTCGCATGTAGATAAAGCACTTGATAAATCGAAGTCCTTAACATCCAAATCCAAAGGCGAGGCTACGCTTGAACCCAACGCGTGCCTCACGAACCCATTAAACATTCCCCCCGTCCCCGACCTAATCGAGCCGAAATCAACGCTAATACGCCCAGTCCCGAACCTAATCGATCCAAATTCCCCGCTAGTTCTCATCGGCGGGCTCCGGGAGCTCGACCCGATCGAGCTATTCATACCATGAAGCACGGACACCGGGCTCTGGTGCGCCTGATCTCGTTTCAAGGACGAGCTCAACGACGAGTTACGGAAGGAGGACCCCAATTCCTCAGCCCTATCATGCCACATCGAGCCCAACTCCTCGGCTCCGGAGGCGATTTTTGTGGATTTGATCGGCGGCGATGAGAACAGGCACGAAAGGCCGCCGATAACAGGCTTCTGCGAAGGAGAAGCGGCGGCTGAAGACGCTGAACGAGCGATGACATCGAATTCGTGCGACGCGTGGGAGCTGATATGGTGCTGCCCGGAGCCCAGACTGTTTGGAGGGCTCGCGTAAAGCGCTACCGTCGATACCGCCATTCAAATCCGTGACAAATTTCCAGCCGATTAAGCAGGTGCTGGTGGAGAAAATTGGAAATTTACCAAGAATATGGGGTTAGAAAACGCAGAAACTGAACGAATGGAGAAATCAAGAAAGAGAACTTGATTGTTAAACAGATTTGAAGGTTTCTTAGAGAGAGAAACGTTTTCTTCTTTGTTCTTTAGCTGGGATTTTTATGCCGACGCGAAGAGGTGCTATCGAATGCCACGAATCGCGGAAGTGAAAAGACGATAATGCCCTCGCACAAAGGCTGAAAAGGAACAAAGAGAACTTGAGGCCATCTCCCGCCCTTATCTCTACTCTAGCGCCGACTTTACTCTACTCTAGAGTAGAGTTGAACATTCATCTCCAGCCCTTATCTCTATATTTTACTCTATTAAATATATTATTTTTTTATTCATTTTAAAAATAAATTGTAATAAATTGAATTTCTTAAAGAAGATACATATACATCTATGTACCGATTCAAAACTGTTACTTTTGAAAATATATGAATTAGTGAAAATATACACACTAGACATATATGGTTTAGACCATATATGAATTAGTGCAAATTTACACACTAGATCATATATGGTTTAGAGCATAAAAAAACAAAAAAAAAAGAAAAATCTAGTGCTGCGCTACAGTGTTGCGCTACAATTGGCGCAGCACTGTTCCCATATCTGATGTAGCGCAAGATTTCAGCGCAGGGTTGGAGCAGATATTTGACACAACTCTAGTGTTTTGCGCTAGAATATTGCAGCGATGGAGATGGTCTGATTGTTAACATTGGAAGAAAAAAAAAAGAACTTGATTGTTAACAGATTTGAAAGTTTTTTTAGAGAGAAATGTTTTCATCTTTGTTCTTCAGCTGGGATTATGCCGACGTGAAGAGGTGCTATCGAATGCCACGAATCGCCGAAGTGAAAATACGATAATGCCCTCGCACAGGGGTTGAAAAGGCTTTGTTCTTTTTTTTTTTTTTANAAACCATATTTAAATGAAAAAATATGAAGTCCTGTTGCGGGATAGGTCCGTTGGTTTTATTAACCATTGGATATATATAAATTATGTTGCGTAGATAATCAGCGAGACTATAGTCATTTTCAAAAAATAATACTATTATTCTACTTCATATTTAATAAGGGCATCCACAACCCAAATACACAATTCATATTTATTCAAAAAAAATTAACAATCTCTCTCATCTACATCATATCTATGTCATTTTCTATTAAATCTCTCTCCATTTAAACACACACTCACATTCATATACATTCATTTAAATACATATATGTGACTCATTATCCACTCATTCAATATAAATTATAATATTCTATTTTCAATAAAAATTAATATTTTTAGATTATAATAATAAATTTTAAATGTATAAAAATAAAAAAAACACTACAAAATCAATATAACTTAAATTAAGATTACACAAAAAAATATAAATTATTGATACATATTGAAAATTGTGATATATTGAATTTATCAATATTGAGAAGTGTGATATAAATAAAAAATTGAAAATAATATGATTAAACAATTAATTTAAAACAAACAAAAATAAAAAATAAAAAATTGGGCTAAACGTCTTCAGCCCATTGAACGTACCTATGGGCCCCACATGTTTAATGGATGGCCACAAAGCATTGAATGTCAACTTGGCATATGACGGGGCATTTAAACGCTCCGTTGCGGATGCTCTAAATACAAATCCTTGACCATGTACATGTAGAAATTAACAATAACATAGAAGATTCGAACTAAATATTGATTGTGGTGTTTTGTATATGTATTGTGCATATAATATTTATTTTAGAATAAAACTAAAAAGAAATGTATAGTTAAATGTATATATATAAAATTACGGCTACATTTGGTTGTTGGCATTTCCGCCAAATTTTGGCGTTTTTGGTTCATTTTGCTGTTTTGAAAGTTTGACCAATTAAAACATGTTGTTTCATAAAAGAACGGATGCTAATGGCGATTTTGGCCCAAACGCCAATATTGGAAACACTGATTGGAGAAGCGTTTGGGGGCGTTTGTATAATTCACATTACACCATGCAATTGCTTTTTTATTTTATTTTATTATTTTATTTAAGAATTAGGTCCCTTTAATCTATAATGAAGGAATAATTATATTATGGGTAATTATTCTGAAATTCTTGTTTTCGTATTGGGTTGGCATGCTTAAAGGCCACTTTCATCAATTTGTGTATTTTTATGTGAAATTTTTTACTTTTCAATTTAACAAAATAAGTGATGTATGCAGTTATTTTATAATAAATTTATGTTATAAATCTTTATATATACATATATATTATTGTTATTATTATTGTTTAATTTATATTTTTTCAGATCAAATAGAATTATAAATTAGATTGAAAGTATAAATTGAATAATTAATTGTAAATTTGGATCAACTATTAATATTAGGTTACTTAAAATAAAAATAAATGTCACACTGTGATGATAAATAAAAAAAATATGAAGATGAAACATAAAAAGTAAAAAGAATATTTAAAGAAAATATTATTAATAACCAAATATTTTTTTGGTGGAAAAACAGTAATATTTAAAGTAAAAACAAACATTTGTATTGTAGATATAGAAGATATATATGTTTTAGTAATTCAATTAATATTGATGAAATGCTGTTGTATCTTGTAGTATTTTTGTTAATTATATAATGACTATTACATTAATTAAATATGTGTAAAGTAATACACTTAATTAAATCATATTTTGATTTAAATTAATTTAAATATAAATGTAAATTGAAAATCAATAGATGCATTATTAAAAACCTGCTAAAACCCTAGTTCTTTTTAAACCCTCCTCTCACTCAGACCAAGGGAATTTGGGCGACAACGTGCTTACAAACTCGAAGAACTGAAATTTAGCAAACGCCCTGAGTAAAAATTAATAAAAGAACTTCAGGAAGACGCCAAAGAGAACGTAAGCTCAGTCATATTCCCATGTTTGCATTAAACATAAAAATTTAAGATTTTGAGGTTCAGAATGCCAAAGGACTCTTTTTTTTCTTAGCAACCACTATACTGGAGTTCTGAAATGGCGGTTGATGGGAGCTTTTCGCTTGAAAAGGAGCTGGGGCGGTTTACCGACCGATGTCCGCAGCTTAAATCGATTCCCTGCTTCGATATTTTGTTAAAGAAGGTATAACAAACGTGTAAAAGTGTTAAAGACTTGATTTTTATTGGTGTTTGTGACCATTGGGATATAATTTCACCTCTGCTTAACATGTTTTGTGATTTAGGGGGACAAAGTCACAGAAGAAGAAGTGGTACGGGCGTTGGGTGAATTAGTTTTGCACCCAAATTACACAATCCCGTTGCTCGGATGCTTCAGGCCAATAGCACACAAGGTTATGAAGAGGACCGTGTCGTTGCTTCACTTGGTGCCAAATTTGAGGTCGGAGGATGATGATAATTGTATGGAATTCGATGAAGATACTTTTCTTATGGAAGATGAAGGCGTAGATAGTACAGAAGTAGCTAGTATAGTTGATGTTTATGTCAAACGGGGGAAGGGCCTGCGTGTTCATGAGCTTGCCTGCCTGGCTTTTTGTCGAGTGCTTGATTTGATTCCTTTCCTGTTGGGGTAAGATACATTACACTTTCATTTATAGCATTTTTTTTTTTTTTTTTTTTTTNGGGACTTCTTTCAGCTCTGTCTCTGAAGAATGTGATTAATATGCTTTTGTTACAATGTCAATATAAGCTTCTTTCTTGTCTTGCAATATTGTTTTGGGGCTAATAAGGCAAGTGGGGCCAGATATTGACATAGGGGTATAGCAGGAGTTGTGTGTAAAGTGTAAACTGGGTTTACATTTTCTCAACGTGGAGAGTAAATTTTCTCCCATTCTATTTGGTCCTGTTCGGTTTACAATCTTTTATATACATTGGTGCTAAATATTACATTCTCTCTTGCTTCGCTGCAGGGATATCTTAAATTATTTTAAAGTCGCTCCCGCTCCATTCCAACGGATTATGCAGCATCAATCAGTTGGCGAGGCGTTAGCTATGGTACCCTGCTGACTGAAGTTCTCTGTCTGTCTTTTTATATATTTTATTTTTAAATTCTCTTATCTTTTCTCCTGCTTCTCTTTAGTGATAACCTCTGTTTGAGAAGTTGTGTTGTCTTCATCAATTCACATATCTAGTAACTGCAATTTGCTTCTCCGCTGTTGTGGGGTGATGTGATATTTGTAGTGATATTGCTAAAATAAGCATGAGAAAAATTCAAGGGAACATAAACTTTTTTCTCAATTATGCCATATGGTAACAGGCTTTGGTTGATCATTTTGGTAATGTAGATGTCTGCTACAACCCTTGTATGTGTACATTTATGCTACTACTGCTAAGAATGGAGTTTTTGATATCTAGTTTCATGATGGGAGGAGCAATCACTGATGCCTGTTCTTTTATGTAAATGGGCGGGTGGGGTTGTATTTGGGGTGTTATGACATCAATGGTTAGATGAGTGCATATCTGACTACTGAGCACACATAATGAATTTGAGTCAGAAAGTGAACTTGCTCTATTTTCTTCCAAAAAATGATTAACCCTTATTTTGTAGGGACCACATCACTTGTTAAACGTTGTCCGGGCCTCTTATCGTTTTCTCACTTTAGAGCCGGAAATTTTCACTACATTGTGGGATTGGTCTTGTATTTTGAACCTCATCCAGCAGTCCGGAGATCTAATCACAAATGATGCTAGTCTAAAGAATATTATGAGTGACCTGAGATGGTGCAGCATGGGTATTTTATCAGTGGTTTTGAAGCTAAGTTTTAAAGCATCTTCAAACGTTGAACTCGACTCCAAAGAAGCTTTTCAGAGTTTTCTGCGGTAAACTCAAATTTTATGATGAGCAGTGGATTTTCCTTTTCTTGGCAATAAATATGTATGTTAATGATTCAATTTGGAGTTTTACATGCCACAACACTAGCATAGCTCTTATAAAGCTCTGGAGTTTTACATGCCACAACACTAGCATTAGCTCTTATAAAGCTCTGCAATGTTTACTCGAAACTTCTGTAATGGAAGTTAAGATTCATGTCATATATCTTTTCTTTTTGCATGAAATGATACTCTGTCATTTATATTTGCATCTAAAGATTTANTTCCTAGTGAGAAGAAACTATTTCGATCTAAAATTCACAACAGGCTTATTGTTTTGGTTCAGAAAATTATCAACATTTCCTTGTTTATTATTTACTATAGTATTCATTGTTTATTTCTTCCACCCTTTAAATGTATTTCTGCTGCATTTTTTTCATTGTTGCAGCTGGCAAGAATTTTGTATGGATGTTTCTTTGGAGAAAGGGGGTTGGTATCTTGAGTCTTCTGTAGAAGAAGCTGATACAATGGTTGGAAGAAAAGGCGGCTCTTCACAGCTTAGTTCTTTATCCCCAGGCTTGTCATTGGCTAATAGGACTGCCCAATCAAATCAGATTGACATGCTGGTTACAGGGTAGGATTTGTATGTTTGAAATAAGAAATCATTTAGCAGAGGTCTTCTATATATTTTTATTTGTCGGGTTCTTGGAGAAATAGATTATTGCATATCCAATGTGTCCGTATTTTGAGGGATTCGTGCTAACCTGAGATAAATGAGTTTCAAGGGGCCCATTCTTCTGTATATAGTCAGATTTTTGGAGTAGCTTGTTGGCGTGTTTTTTCCATGGTCCTCTCAACTGTAATCTGTTGTCATCGTCACTCAGAAAAATTGTTTCTTTTTATGCCAGCCTCTCACTCATAAAGTGCTTTTGACATTCTAGACTGTCTTATTTTCTTGCAGGAACTCTGAGAGTCACTTTGTTTTGACATCTGCTATGACAAAAAGTTTTGAGATGGTCTCTTTAGCTGTAAATCAAAGGTGGCCTGTGCTTCTATATGGTCCTGCTGGTTGTGGTAAAACTGTTCTTATTAACAAATTGGCACATGGTTATGGTAGCAGAGGTATGTCTTCTGGTTATGCTGTTAATATTTGCCTATAATTTACATTGAATTACAAATGTGTACACATCTCAGTATCAGATATCTATATTTTGCATGGAGTGGTATTTGAGGTTTACAAACATGAATGTACATGTACATTCATGAGAAGGAGATCTCTATAGTTGTTTATTTCCCTTCTATAAAAGATGCATATTTTTCTTTTTGAATATTTTTTTTTTACTTAATTTAATTTAATATCTTTTGGAGCTTCTCTACTTATTCCTTGTCTCCCTGAATGCCATATAGTTTTGTCCATTCACATGGATGAGCAGATAGATGGGAAAACACTGCTTGGAAGTTATGTTTGTGCGGAGCAACCTGGTGAATTCAGATGGCAGCCTGGTTCTCTTACTCAGGTTCGAAGCCAGTTTATGTTGTACAAAATTTAGAATAAGCTGCCATGCTTTCTTGTTGTAACATCCGTAATTATCAATTGTCAGGCTGTTCTGAATGGTTTTTGGGTAGTCTTCGAGGATATTGATAAAGCACCATCTGACATTATGGCAATCTTATTGCCATTGTTGGAGGGTGCAATTACATTCTCCACAGGCCATGGGGAGGTATACATTTGCTATCTTACTACAATTTTCATCTAGCTATTTTTAATTGATGCATTGTCAAAGCTTACTACCACATTATCATGCTTTATAATTTTCATTTTGCAGGCAGTAAGAGTGAATGAGAGTTTTCGGCTTTTTTCTACTGTGACCAGCTTGAATTCAGATGCATCTCGTTTTACTGAAGGTTTGCTTAAATGATTTGCGTTCTTTTATAGCCAGGCATTTGAATTAATCTAATTGATTTAACGTTTGCACCTTTTTCCCCCCTTAGTTTTTGGTTGGATTGTCGACATTCATTTTTTATGGTGTTTGCTGGAAGATTTTCCAACTGACTAGCTATTCAATTTTAGTCGCTATACCTGATTACAATTGTACCACAAACTAATCAAGTCAAATTGGCGTGAGTATGCTTTATAGTTTTTTGTGTTTGTTTGAACCAATTATGTGTTTTTCGGCACTCCTGGTGTATGGTTGACAGAAATTTATCACCATCATCCTTATCATGGGGTAGTGACTACTTAGGAAGTAGGTAATTCTCTCATCATCTATAATGAAATTCTGCACAGTTGCTGCTTAATAGAACTGTCGCCTTGAAGCTTCTCAAATGAATAAATGATTCCTCATTTAAAGATTATGCCTCCATAATATTGTGATGCATCAAGGCTGCGAGAAAATGCCTGGTAATGTAACTGCTATTTTGTTCTTGCAGTACATAATACCTTTTGCCTTTGTGTTCCGTCTTCTGGTTATAGGTAGGAATTCACTCGGTGCTGTTTGGCGGAAGGTGATGATTGGCCCACCCAGTAAACAGGACTTGCAACATATTGTGCTGGAGTGGTATCCACAGTTGGAGTATCTTGCACAAAATCTTATAGGTTTGCCTAGTTTTACCATTTCATGAGTATCTTAAGCTTCTTACAATGTACATTGTTCACTGTTTTGTTTCCTGGTTTTCTGTAGAAACCTTTGAAAGAGCGAACCAGCTTATAAGATCCCAGTTAGGATTAGCAGCATCTTCAAGTTATCACGACAGATTTACACTAAGGTAGACAGTTTTTTGCACGTAAATGCTCCTCATTTCCTTTTTGCAATGAGTATTTGCTAAATAATTTCTCTGCAATAATAGGGATCTTCTCAAATTGTGCAAAAGAGTTGCAATTTCAGGCGTTTGTTTCGGACAGGACAATCTTTCTACTTCTGCATGCGAGAATATCTGTAAAGAGGTTATATTTATGTGTCATAATTTTCTAAATTCCTTATTAGAGGAGTATGGTCTTGTGAAGTGTTCCATATTGAACTTAAGCCTTTGACATGCAGGCCATAGATGTATTTTCATCCTTTTCTACTTCTGCTGGAAATCGCTTGGCTATCATGAGAGAGATTGCAAAATTGTGGACTGTTCCAGCAGCTGAAACATTGTATCCCATTAACAAGCCCATTATGAAGGTTTTGCCCTTTGTATTTAATGCAGTAATTATCATTTGGTGTATATTAATGCTGCTTGTGTCAGTCGTGTAAGCTTTGAGAGTATGTGCAGGAATTGAAGTTTGAGCTTCAAGTAGGACGTGCTAGCCTTCAACATGCTGAAGTGAATGTGAGTGGATGCATCTGTGATATCTTTGTTCTGTGGCTTATGTTCTTTAAAATAGCAATTTATTATTTATTTACCTGTATTTTCACAGTCCAATCGTGGGAGGAAGCCATTTGTTTTACTTCGTGCTTCAGTACATGCTCTTGAGAGGATTGCTTGTTCTGTTAAGTTTAATGAGCCTGTGTTGTTAGTTGGTGAAACGGGTACTGGTAAGACCACTCTTGTACAGACCCTTGCAACGTTGGTCGGTCAGAAACTTACAGTTTTGGTATGTTCGAAACCTAAAATTGGTATATTCTTATTTCTCAATTTGATATATAGCGAGTACAATTGGTGACTGCAACTGTTGCTTCTGTCCAGAACTTGAGTCAGCAAAGTGATGCTGCTGACCTATTAGGTGGATTCAAACCCATGGATGCACGGTTTGTTTGTGCTCCACTTTATCAAGAGTTCGAAAATCTATTCACAAGTACCTTTTCGTCAAAGGTACCCTTTTTTTCTATCAAGTATGTTTCTACCGGGCTCGTTCTAGTTAACGTGTATTGACTGTGATGTGTATTCTGTTCAGGACAATGAAAGATTCCTTGTAGATTTAAGGAAATCTCTTGCAGTAAAGAATTGGAAAAGGTTATTAGGTGGGTTTCAGAGAGGCCTCCAGAAGATAGTCGAAATAGGAAAATCCAGTCCTAGTAAGAAGCGAAAGAGACCCTTAAGCCCTGACCTACTGAAGGCTTGGGAAAACTTCTCAAAGAAACTTGAAAGAGCTCATTCACAAGTCAATGCATCGGATGGGATGGTATTTTCATTTGTCGAAGGAGCTTTTATCACTGCCCTGAAAAATGGCGAATGGATATTGCTAGATGAAGTCAATTTGGCTCCTCCAGAGATCTTGCAGCGAGTTATTGGGGTCCTTGAAGATGAGAGAGGGTCAATATGCTTGGCTGAAAGAGGGGATATTGACTATGTTAGCAGGCATCCGAACTTTCGCATGTTTGCATGCATGAACCCTGCAACCGATGCTGGTAAAAGGGACTTGCCAATTTCTTTGAGGAGCAGATTTACGGAATACTTTGTTGATGACGTGTTGAATGACGAGGACTTGGTTTTGTTCATTGATCAGTTTATTGATGATGACCCAATGTTCAGAAGAATAATAAGTAATATAGTGCAGTTTTATAAGGCAGCAAAGGAATCTGAAGAAAGACTGCAGGATGGGGCTAACCAGAGGCCTCATTATAGTTTACGGTCTCTGTACCGGGCATTGGAATATTTGAAGAAGGCGAAAAAGAGATTCGGATTCGAAAGATCTCTTTATGATGGATTTTGTATGTTCTTCCTGAATTCATTGGACGACGTTAGCGCAAAGTTCATGAACAATCTAATCTGCAAACTTTTGTTGGGAGGTGGAACACCTCCACCACTCTCTTTTGATTCGTACCTATTGAAAGGCAACCCCAAAGATGATAGTATCTTAGAGAGCTATGTCCTGACAAAGAGTGTCAAGGAGCATCTTAAAAACCTCGCACGTGCGATTTTTATTGGACGATATCCTGTCTTGTTGCAGGGACCCACCTCTAGTGGGAAGACTAGTCTCGTCAGGTATCTTGCGGCAATAACTGGTCACGAATTTGTAAGAATCAATAATCACGAGCATACTGATCTCCAGGAGTACCTTGGTTCTTACATTACTGATTCGAGTGGAAAGCTCGTTTTCCACGAGGGGGCACTCGTGAAAGCTGTTCGAAAAGGCCATTGGGTTGTTCTTGATGAACTGAACTTGGCTCCGTCAGACGTGCTTGAAGCATTGAATAGATTGCTTGACGATAATAGGGAGCTTTTCGTTCCTGAATTACGGGAAACAATTCGTGCTCATCCAGATTTTATGTTGTTTGCCACCCAAAATCCACCTGTCGTTTATGCTGGTCGCAAGATGCTCTCTCGAGCATTCCGCAATCGTTTTGTGGAGATTCATGTGGACGAAATCCCCCAAGAGGAGTTGAGCACAATTTTGGAAATGAGGTGCAAAATTCCTGGAAGTTACGCGAAGAAAATGGTTGATGTCATGAAGGAGTTGCAAATGCACAGGCAGAGTAGTAAGATATTTGCTGGAAAACATGGTTTTATTACGCCACGCGACTTGTTTAGGTGGGCTGAGCGGTTTAGGACATTTGGTAACTCCTATGAAGATCTAGGTTATGATGGTTACTATTTAATGGCTGAAAGGCTGCGTGATGACACTGAGAAGCAAATTGTCAAAGAGGTTCTGGAGAGACAACTAAGGATCAAGTTTTCTGCTGATGACTTATACAAACAGGTATTATAAGCTTGTGGTCTCATCTCGAAAAAAATTTATTCGTCATATATTTTTCTGAAGCTAGATTGTCCAAAGGTCTCGTTTTGCTGTATTTGTACATGCATTCATCAAACATATGTGATTGGGCCTCAAACTTGTTAGGGAAGAATGATAAGTGACAGGTTTAGGTTTCCAATTAGATGAAACAGGGTTTTTCAACTAATTTTAGTGTCCCTTTTCCTTTTGTTTCTCCTCCAAAAGTATCTGTTTGCATTTGGTAATGATAGTCATCTGAATATGCCGAGAGCTATTGTTGGAAATGAGTTATTTAGCCTGCATTTGGCTATTAGGTACATGTGTATGCTCTAGTTTTTAATTTCTTCCAGAAATAAAATTCCATTGAGAAAATTGTTGAAAAGATTTGCCTTTCTGTTTATGCAGTACTTTAGTAGTGCGGAATAAAATTAATATTTTGATCAAGTGATGGTTGGCTGTTTCTTCTGGGTTGTTAAATGATCTGATATACTAAAAAAATTTCTTATCTTATTGTTTTTCAGGAAAGCAAAGTTGGAGAGCCAGATAAATTTACATTGAGCCCAGGAAGCGTTGGGAAGTAAGTATCTACTCTGGTTTTGGCGTGAGCTCTCTTTCACGAGTATTTGGATTTCTAACTTGTTTTCTGCTTTCTCTGTCCCAGAGTGATTTGGACAAATACTCTGCAGAGAATGTACTTTCTGGTCGAGCGGTGTTATAAGATGCGTGAGCCTGTCCTCCTTGTTGGAGAAACTGGTGGAGGGAAAACAACTGTATGCCAATTGCTTAGTATCATGTTGAACTCCAAATTACACGTATTGAATTGCCATCAGTACACAGAAACATCTGATTTTCTCGGGGTTTGTCTTCCTTTCAGTTTTCGTTTCCATTTGTCTGTTGCTGTTATCATTAACTCTTTGCTTTTCGTGAGATCTTACAATTTTTACTAGCTGTTAATTTTGGTGTTTAATCATTGGCCAGGGCTTTTTTCCTGTTCGTGATAGATCGAAAATTGGCAAAGACTTTGAAAATCTTTGTGAGAAGTTGACCCAGTCGAAGGCTCTTATCCACTTCCCCAGAGATGCTGTATGTTCTCCCCCTTGTTTTTTTATTGCTTGGCTACTTCTTTATTATAACTAATTTTCTTTCTGATTATGGATTTGATAAGCAGAAAATTTCAGTCGACATCAATCAGGCATCTTCTACTGTTACTATGCTCTCCAATATTATCAAGAGTTACAGAGAGCATTCCGTTTCCCATCCAGAAGTCGGTCTGAATGAACTTGAATATTTAGAAAAAGTATACCTGGATTTGTGTCAGCTTCAAAAGAAGTGGCAGACTCTTTTTATGTGGCAAGATGGTCCACTTGTTGAAGCCATGAAAAATGGCGACTTGTTTCTTGTGGATGAGGTCTCTTTAGCTGATGACAGTGTTCTTGAAAGATTGAACAGTGTTTTGGAACCGGAAAGGAAACTGGTGAGTAATTTATATTAAATCAATCGTTGATGCATCAGGCTCGGAATCTATCACATATTTGAAGGAAAGCTTTAGATTGTGATTGGATCTAAGAATTTTTTTAAAACTTTTTTCTCGTATGAAAGTAGATATCATGAAATGGAAAATATGTTTTTAGAATACGTAAGATTTGAGATTGTGAATGGATTTAATATGAAAATGTAATGATTAAAGTTTATGTTGTATAAAAATAATAAAACGTTGATTAATAAGGTTGGTAGTTAGAAATATGTGAGTGAATGAACAGTTTTTGGTTGGAAATTATATTATAATGATTATTTTTTATTTTTTTAATTATGTTAGTAGACTGTAAAGAAAAAAGAGAGATGAAATGGGTAGTATTTTTTTGTGGAAAATTTGTTTCATTCTCAATTTCAATGAAATAAATCTGCTCTGAACAGGTAAAACGAAAATCTTACATCCAATGCCAGCTTACTCTTCAAATCTGGTCCTAATCAAGAACATGTGCACTTACTCTCAGATTATTCACTAATAGATGTTTGTTTGAATTTGCTTCATTAGGTGCAACTGAATGCTGTGCTCATCTATTTGTGTGGATAACTGATAGATTCGTGACACCTTTTTATACTTATCTTTGTGTGGTCTTGTCAACATCTGCAGTCATTGGCTGAGAAAGGAGGCTCTCAACTTGAGAACATAATGGCTCATAGCAATTTTTTCCTCTTGGCCACAATGAATCCTGGTGGAGATTATGGTAAGAAAGAACTTTCCCCTGCCCTTCGCAATCGGTTTACAGAGATATGGGTTCCTTCTGTTGGTGACATAAATGAGCTTAAAAGTATTGCTCTGGAGAGGTAGGTATATCTAAATTAATTTCATTGATGAAGATAATAAAGTGATTGAATTATCTCTTATGGCTTGTCCTCTGACTTTTAAATGCAGAGTTTCAAACTCAGAAATTGCTCACGTTATAGATGCCATGCTAGATTTTTGGGAGGTATAGTGCACAAATTCTTATTAGAATCAGCAGATGTTATTTGTTAATTGTTGATCACACTTGTAACGTTCTCTATTCCCCAAGTGAAATGAATTCAATTTGATGATGGTCATATTTTAAGTGTCAATTCGTGGAAGATCACTGTGAAGTGGTTAGGCTGATTTCTCAATACGTACCGATTCAGTTTTATCCAAACTAATGAGTGCTACATTTTACCTCCTAAAGTGCACACTGCAAGGATTAAGGCTTAAAATGCTATTATCTTAATTTATCACAACATTTTTTCTTATGATATTTTACCAAAATCATCCTATTTTTAGAAGTATTGAGACTCTTCCTACCTTATCAGTTATTTAAAAGTTAAAAAAAAATTGTTTCCTTGTGTTGCTTATAGTTTCAGTTAATACTTTCTTGGTTTTACTTCTTGTCTTACTCCTGATCTACCTGATGACATATTTTTCTTGCTCTGCAGTGGTTCAATATTTTACAGACAGGAAGACTGCTTACCATAAGAGATCTCTTGTCTTGGGTATCCTTCATCAACACAACGGACAGAAGATTAGGGGCTGAATCTGCATTTGTACATGGGGCATTCCTTGTTTTGCTTGATGGCCTTAGCTTAGGTATGTCTTTTCGATTGTTGAAAACTTATGCAGTTATGCTTTGTTATTTTCTTCCTTTTCTTTGCATGGGCTTCATGTCATTGTTGATTGTTGGCTCTAGTTCATTCAGTGGACCACTCATTTTCCTTGTGTCGACTTAGTGGAACACTTGCAGATACTAGGTGGGAATAGCAGGGTAGCACAAGCAGCTATTGATGAATCTATTTTGTTTCGTTCTAATTGTTTTTTCTCTGTTCTGAGTTGTTTTAGCCATATATCTACCTAAGCAATATATTTTGTTATTGCCTGTAGTCTCTTTAGAATAATTTCCATCATAGCCCATAACTTTCCTATCTGCAGGTACAAATATATCAAAAACTGAAGCAGCAGAGATGAGGCTAAGATGTCTTTCTTTCCTGCTGGGGAAACTCAAGGTGAATGTCTTACATAGCTGCTCAACTGTTTGTTTGAGGATAAAAGAAGTTTGATACAAGTACAAGCAGAAAAATATTTTAAATGGCTCTTAGGCTTCTTATTTGACCTTTGATATTGCGATATCACTACCATAAATAATAAATTGGCTAGTGTGTAAATTACCCTTCTGCATTTGTTTTCCCATTCATTGATGTCTTTTATGAATTTTCAATTTTAGTCTGTTTTCTGTGCAATTGTCTGGAAATATGTTCTGTTCTGCACTTCTGTTAGAAATAATCTATTATAAAAATTAGAGGGTCTGAAGTCCAAGGTAAATTCTTGCTACTCATTTGAGCAGACGTCATGATTTTATTTTCTCGGATAATCCTCATGTTGCCTCCCGTTGTTTTTTTTTTTNCTGAGAATGAGCGTGAGACATATCATCTAGTTGTTGATTGTTCCTATACAATTTCCTATCTTATTGATCAGGATGTGCGTGTGAATTGATCCCATTAAATGATTATTGTGATCTGTATGTTATTTCTTAATACAGGAACACAAGCCAAGCTTTGATTCTTCTAATCTTGAAGGACTAGCGTCTTATGGTTGGTCTGATCCTGGAAGTTTGGCAGTTCTAGATCCTGCTGATAACATGGAGTGTGACAATCTCTTTGGGATTCATCCATTCTATATTGAGAAAGGTATTAATGAATTATTTGCAACTTAGGAGGAATGCTGTTCTCGACTTGATTTCGTGTTGCTATTATTTTTGAAGAAAAATTGACATTGATATCTATCTGAAAACTTTATAAATCACAGAATGACCAAAATCTTGTTCTGTGAGAATTACGTTTTAGTAGAAAGTATGCTACTTTTTGCTAAATGGGCCTGGGTAGGACTCTTTGAGGTTAGCTCAAAGGGAGAGGGTGCTGAAACTGAACTTATACACAATAATAGGCGGATAACTAATTGATTTGGGACAACCATAGCTTCTGAACCCAACATTGCCTCCAAATAAACAAACCTGGATATGCTGATACCATAATAAATGGGCTTTAGAAAGAACCCATCCCCAAAAGCTTAGCTAAAAGGGAGAGGGTGCCCAACCTACACTTATACATAATAAGTGGCAGTGACTAACCGATGGGACAAATGTAGCTCCTAACCCTATTGCTGGTCCTATGGGTAGTACATTAGCAAATTTCTATTTTAGTCCCTAAAATGGATTTATCGATCTTGTTCAGGTAGCGACTGTATTGGTGGAGATGGTTTTGAATTTCGGGCCCCTACCACTTGCAGGAATACGTTGAGGGTGCTGCGTGCAATGCAGCTTAATAGGCCTGGTATGGTGCTTGTATTGCCATTAATTCAATATTTTTGCGCTTCCTGTTCCTTATTTATTCGCATTGTGACCTGGTTGAACATGGTTTTGTTGTGCTCTGGTAACTTGTTATGTGCCCTAAGTCCATACGGAATAATTGAGTAACCTCTATGACGTTTATGGTTTTATGCTTTTGCCAGTGTTGTTGGAAGGAAGTCCGGGTGTTGGGAAAACAAGTTTAGTCGCTGCAATTGGAAGATCCTCTGGACACACAGTTGTACGAATTAACTTATCTGAGCAGGTTGGGCGTCCTTGTTTGTTTTAAATTTTTTCAGAATTGTTTCCTTTATATAGAGGATTTCTTCTTCTCAATAAAAACGTAGAACTTCTAAACTCAATTTTCTTTCTGCAGACGGATATCATGGATTTGTTGGGATCAGACTTGCCGGTTGAAAGTGATGAAGGAATACAGTTTGCTTGGTCTGATGGTATCCTACTTCAGGTAGGCAAGCTAGTCTCTCTTCAGTATTTTTAGATAATTACAAAAGTAAAAATTATTTAAAATGAAAATACCCTTGAAATTGTATCTGTTTTACAAATTGTCCTTTCAATTGGTGCAATTTTTTTTAAATAAAATTATGTGCAAGGTTGTGCTTGTAAATTTTAAGATATCTTTTTTTTTCTTTTTGGGTAATTCGCTAAACTTGAGAGGTAGGCTTGGTAATTATCACTTACTTTTTTCTTAGTCTCTCTTGGTTAATGTTATTCGCTGCACAGGCTTTAAAGAAGGGTTCATGGGTTCTGCTGGATGAACTTAACCTTGCACCGCAATCTGTTTTGGAGGTATTTAAAGTTGTCTGTTTTTAGGTCCTCTCTGATTTGATGCCTTTGACATTGTTATATAGACTAGCACCGTACTTTGCAATTCCTTGCTGCCACCCGTTTCAACTTCTAGAGAAACTCTTAGGAAATTGGGCAAGATGTTTTAGGTTCTTACATAGTTACTCTTTTGCTTACTGAGAAAACTCTCTATGAATATATTGTTTCTACACGCATTGCATTCCATGATAAACAGAAAATAGGTTATACTCAGAAATCCTTCCTGTATTGTTCAACAATTTTTTTATGCGTCTAATTACATCAATTTTTACTTCAACCGGGATGTTAACGTAATCAGAGAGTTTGAATTTCAGTTGATTACCTCACCGTGTGAGCTGCCAACACACAAGGGCATCTTTCTTGAGATTGACCATTTAAATATATTATATATGTAGGGTTTAAATGCCATTTTGGACCATCGAGCTGAAGTTTTCATTCCTGAGCTGGGCCGTTCTTTCAAGTGTCCATCATCTTTCAGAGTTTTTGCATGCCAGAATCCAACCTATCAAGGTGGTGGTCGGAAAGGCCTTCCCAAGTCCTTCCTCAATAGATTTACTAAGGTATACTCTTGTTCTTAAACTCTCTCTTTAAACTTTAAAGCATGACCTCTGTATTCAGGACTATTGCATGCAACGTTCATATAAACATCAGATGTTTGTATTCATGTTTACGCTAAAAATCCTTTTAAATCCCTGTTATTTCAGGTCTACATTGATGAGCTAGTAGATGAAGACTATCTTTCTATATGTAGCTTCCAATTCCCATCAATTGAAAAATCTCTCTTGATGAAGTTGGTCGTGTTCAATAAGAGGTTACACCAGGATACTATGGTGCATCACAAATTTGGTCAGGATGGTTCTCCCTGGGAGTTTAATCTTCGTGACGTTATCCGTTCTTGCCAGATCATCCAAGGTCTCGACTGTTCATCTGATATTATGCTAACATATTGTTTTGGTTGACTTTATCTATTTACTCATTGTTTCTTTGCAGATGCTTCCCGAAAGTCAAATCCTGACTGTTTCTTAAGCTCTATTTACCTGCAAAGGATGCGTACCTTGGCCGATAGGAATGAAGTGCTGAAACTGTATGAAGAAATCTTTGGAGTGAAGCCATTTGTAAATCCGTACCCTAGAGTGAAGCTCAATCCCGACTCAATGGTTGTTGGTGATGTATGTATTGATAGGCATCTATGTCAGTCTTCTGGTATGTCCAGTGATAACCTCAAAATCCTGCCTGGCTTACGCCATTGCTTAGAAGCTGTTAGTCAGTGTGTAAAGCACCAGTGGTTGTGCATATTGGTTGGTCCTCCATCTTCTGGGAAGACATCTTTGGTAAGATTGCTAGCTGAGCTGACTGGAAATGTACTAAATGAATTGAATCTTTCATCCGCGACTGATATATCCGAACTTATTGGATCATTTGAGCAATATAATGCCTCCCGTCACTATCATCTTGCTATTGCTCAAGTCGAAAGATATATGAATGAGTATGGCAACTTGCAACTGGAATTTTCTCTCAATGCCTTTCTCCAAAGGAAGGATATTACTTCTCGGTGGCTTGCCTTCTTATCTGGCATAAATAGTTCGGCAACATTTATTGATGACCCAAGGATGAGAGATTCCATTTCACATCTGGTTGATATTATTGAAAATCTAAAGCTAGCCATTGACCAACAAGCATTGCCTTTGTCTTGGTCCCAGAAGGATCTTGACCGAACTCTCATCATGATAAGGAAGTTGGAAGAGGATCAACAAAAACGGAAACACTCTGTGAAATTTGAATGGGTAACTGGATTGCTGATCAAGGCCATCGAAAATGGAGAATGGATTGTCCTCGAAAATGCAAACCTCTGCAATCCAACGGTCTGTATTTTCTACAAGGATACTCCTTTTTTTTTTCCTGGAATCTGTATGTTGTGGATATTAATGCATTTTTCACTCTCTTGTTTTTTCATGCAGGTTCTGGATAGGATTAATTCTTTGGTTGAGCAATCTGGATCTATTACTATTAATGAGTGTGGAACTGTGGATGGAAACCCGGTGATTGTTCATCCCCATCCTAGATTTAGAATGTTTCTCACTGTTAATCCTAGCTATGGTGAAGTATCTCGGGCAATGCGAAACAGAGGAGTGGAAATATATTTGATGCAACCGTTATGTTGTAATGATGTGGATGAGATTGAGCTCAGAGAAGTGAAGAGATTCATTGCCCTCTGTGGAATTCCTGTGGGTAAGTTGGTTGATATGATGGCAAAAGCCCATATTTATGCTAAACGCGAAGGATCTTCTCTTGATGTGAGCATCACATATCTTGAGCTTTCACGCTGGGTGCAGCTATTTCAACGGCTCATTCAAAATGGCAACCAGCCTGCCTGGAGCATCCAAATCAGTTGGGAGCATACATACCTTTCATCTTTTGGTGAGGGAAAAGGAAAAGACATAGTTTCTCGAGCTTCGGTTTCATTTCTATCAGCGTCAGAAATTTATAGATTCACTTTGTCAGAAGATTTCTTGCTATGTTTACCAGGAGGTTGGCCAGCCCCTCTGAAATTGAGGAATTATGTTTTACACTCGAGAGAGGCTTGTGTTAGACAAAGTATAATGTATTTGGAATCAACGGGATCTCTTATTGCATCACATATGTTTAGAAGAAGTACCTTGAACAGAGGTTCAAAAGGAAAAACTCCTCTGGCAGGAGTCTCGAAGATGATTCATTTAATGGATGCTACATCGTTGCATAGACTTATGTATCCCAAAGATCCGAATGGCTTGCTTGAAAACTTTGGTGCCCAAAATGATCTGGATTTGGTTTTAGCCCAGAAAAAGCTAGCCTTTGCTGCTGATTGGGCCATTGAACAGGCAACTGAAAGTGATTATCGGTTCTACATCTGTTGGTTTGAGTGGTTTGGTTCTCGGTTGCAGCCATTCTTTTCATTTTTCAGTGTGTTTTCTGATATGCTGAAGAAGGAGCTGCAACATTCTATTTGGACAAGAATATTTGAGATACACCATGAGCTTATGTCCCAAAAGGCAATCGATAAGTCTCTTCCTATACTCTCAATGGAATTGGTTGATGCATGCCAGTCTGTTGATGTTTTAAATTTATGTCGTGTCCTAAGAAACTTGATTACGTGTGTTGGCCTATTGAGACGTAGCTTTCAACAGTGGAATGTAGAGGATGGTTATGGTCATCATTCCAAAACTCAGCCTTTCATACCTGTTTTGACTTCTCTACGAAGGGTGGAGGGAAAAGTGCTTGACTTGCTTGTTGAATCATGTACTTTTGATGTACTTTTTAAGTCATACAGTGATCTCTTTGAACATCATACACTGTTTTGGAATAGTGTCACTTCATCTCAGATTGATCGGCGTCTAATCTCTTGGCGGTCTTTAATGAAAGATGCTATGAGACTGCAGGGTGTTTGTCCTGCAGAGGCCAAACTACTGAAGGCAAGCTCCTTGGCCAATTACTATTGTGTTTGCCTCACTCACTCACTTTACTTATTTTTCTTTTATATTATCTCTATAATTTTTTTTTTTTTTTTCTTTTGGATC